TAAATATTTTTTTATATTAATAATTCTTGTCTAATTACATTTTTTTCCTTAAAAAACTCATAATAAATAGATAAATAGGTAATTTATGTTAGAGTTTAGAGTTTTATAGAAATTCTTAAAATATATCTTTGTCTAATGTTATAGAGTTTTATTGAAAGTAAAATAGGTAATTTGTAATTGAGTTCTATATAAACTATTTTATTTTATTTAAATATATCTTTGTCTAATTAGATTTTCTTCTATTAAAAAACTCATAATAATTAGTAATTTGTGGTAGAGTTTTAGAGAAATTATTTTGTTTTTATATCAAATAATAAATATTTTTTATATTAATAATTATTGTCTAATTAGATTTTTCTTTATTAAAAAACTCATAATAAATAGATAAATAGGGAATTTGTATTAGAATTTGATTGAAACTCTTTTAAAAACTCTTTTTATATCAATTAATAAATAATCTTTTATATTTGTGTTAAAGTTTTATAGAAATTCTTTAAATATATTGTTGTATAATGTGGTAGTGTTTTATTAAAAATAAAGTAGGCAATTTGTGGTAGAGTTTTAAAGAAATTATTTTATTTTCTTTAAATATATCCTTGTCTAATTAGATTTTCTTTTATTAATAAACTCATAATAAATGATAATTTAAATATTTTTTTATATTAATAATTCTTGTCTAATTATATTTTTTTCCTTAAAAAATTTATAATAAATAGATAAATAGGTAATTTGTGTCAGAGTTTTTTATAAACTCTTAAAATATATCCATGTTTAATGTGATTGAGTTTTATTGAAAATAAAATAAGTAATTTGTGGTTGAGTTTTATATAAACTATTTTATTTTATTTAAATATATCTTTGTTTAATTAGATTTTCATCTATTAAAAAACTCATCAGAATTGGTAATTTGTGGTTGAGTTTTAGAGAAATTACTATTATTTTTATATCAAATAATAAATATTTTTTATATTAATAATTCTTGTCTAATTAGATTTTTCTTTATTAAAAAACTCACAATAAATAGATAAATAGGTAATTTGTATTAGAGTTTGATTGAAACTCTTTTTATATCAATTAATAAATATTTTTTTATATTTGTGTTAGGGTTTTATAGAAATTCTTTAAATATATCATTATATAATGTGATAGAGTTTTATTGAAAATAAAATAGGTAATTTGTGGAAGAGTTTTAAAGAAGAAGAGAAAGACAATTGATTAGGTTTTTTTTTTTTAATTTTTGTATACATTAAATGTATTAAATGTAGCAATATATGTAATAAAACAATGCATGATAAAAACATAAATTTAATAATAAAAAGAAGAAGAAAAAGACAATTGTTTAGGTTTTTATTTTTATTTTTGTATACATTAAATATAGCAATATATATAATAAAACAATGCATGATCAAAGCATAAGATTAATAATAAAACAATGCATGAGCAAAAAATAAAACAATGCACGTACCTTGAAATTTGATGTGATTAGATGAATGCAAAAAAAGACTTATATATATAGAGAGAGAATATAGATTTAATAAATATCCAAAATGGACTCTTTTTCTCCCTTGCCATGAATCCCTTCCTATTGCAATCATGTTAGGTTTTGAATTCTTTCCTGCTGGGACTGTTATTATAATTTATTATATTTTGCGTGCTGCAATCGTGTTAGGTTTAGTAGTAGTTGTATAGTATAATTTGAATTTGAATTATTAGGTTTTGAATATAATTTGAATTTTAATTATTATATGTTTTGAATTTTAGTATAATTTGAATTTTAATTAAACTCTTTATTGATTGTGGGATATAATAATTAAACTCTTTATTGTAAATTAAACTCTTAATACGTGGTCACCCTCAATGCAATCTCAAAAAAAAAAAAAAAAAATTGAGAGACAAAGGAGTACTTACCAAGGGAAATTTTGTAAGAAAAACTTGGATTCTTTCCTATTAACAAAATTTATAATGCTACAATTACGACAAAAAAAAGAAAATGCATAAATTATAATTATAAAACCACACTGGAACCGAGTAAAACAAAATAGTTTATTGTTTAATTGACATCCCAAAATAATACAGAGTATTAATTTTAAAAAATAGTTAATTGTGTGAAGAATTTTAGAAATCCAAGACTTTTAAAATAGAATAATTACAAGTTTAATAGTTGGAGAATTTTAAAAAATCGTCAAGAACTTTAATAGTAAAAGAATTCTAAAATTTGTTAAGAGTTAAAACAACTAAAAATTTTCAATAAAAAGATCCAAAACAGCCAAGAATATAAAATAAAAAAATGATAAACTCTAAATATGAATTTGATTATACAAATTAATTTTTTTGATACAAATTAAGTGCAATCAATAATTAAAATCATGTCATAATTCTAAATTAATTTGATTAAGACATTATTTTCATTGTTATTTTTTATTTTTTTGTACGTGGAAGTCATAATTTTAATAATAGGGTATGTATTCTTTCTCAAAATATGATATTCTCAAAATATAAATATGATGATACAAATTATTTTTTGGTAATGATCATACAAATTAAGTTTAATAATAATTTGTGATAGAAACTCTTATGTGGTAGAAACTCTTTCTCAAAATAAGATAAACTGAAAATATAAATATAATGAAACAAATTATTTGTTGGTAATGATCATACAAATTAAGTGCAATCAATAATTAAAATCATAATTCCAAATTAATTTGATTAACTCACTATTTTAATTGTTATACATTTTCTGCTTTAATTAAGTTAATATATTGAAATTCAATTATTGATATATTTTGATGTAGAATTATTGTTATGTATTTATTGAAAAAAATTATATATTTCATTCTCTATTTAGATTTACTTTTATTGAATTTCAGTATTTGTTATTTTATATTTTGTTAATTTGAATTAATTTGAATTTTATTAGGTAATTTTGAGTTTTATAGAATTTATATTAATTAATAAATAAATATTGAAACTCTCTGCACAATGGCCGAGAAAGTAGTACTACACTTGATCTTAGACAAAAGACCAAGAAAAGTTAGCCAAAAGGCCAATCCAAAAAAAGTTAGTACTACACTTGATCTTACCCAAAAGGCCGAGAAAGTGTGATTATTATTTCTTTAGCTCTATAACTTTATAAGAGGTTTTCATGTAATCCTTTTTACTTAAAACCAATGTGGAACTTTGTAATTTGAATTAAACTCTTTTTATATTTTGTTAATTTGAATTAATTTTAATTTTATATTAGGTAATTTTGAGTTTTATAGAATATTACCAAGGGAAATTTTGGAAGAAAAATTTGGATTCTTTCCTATCAACAAAATTTATAATGCTTTGATTACGACAAAAAAAAAAAAAGAAAATGCATAAATTATAATTATAAAACCACACTGAAACTGAGTAAAACAAATTAGTTTATTATTTAATTGATATCCCAAAATAATATGGAGTATTAATTTTAAAAAATAGTTAATTGTGTGGAGAATTTTAGAAATCCAAGACTTTTAAAATAGAATAATTACAAGTTTAATAGTTGGAGAATTTTAAAAAATCGTCAAGAACTTTAATAGTAAAAGAATTCTAAAAATTGTTAAGAGTTTTAAAACAAATAAAAATTTTCAATAAAAAGATCCAAAACAACCAAGAATGTAAAAAAAAAAAAAAAAAAAAAAAAAAAATTGATAAACTCCAAATATGAATTTGATTATACGAATTAATTTTTTGATACAAATTAAGTGCAATCAATAATTAAAATCATGTCATAATTCTAAATTAATTTGATTAAGACATTATTTTCATTGTTATTTTTATTTTTTGTACGTGGAAGTCATAATTTTAATAATAGGGTATGTGATAAAAACTCTTTCTCAAAATATGATATTTTCAAAATATAAATATGATAATACAAATTATTTTTCGGTAATGATCATACAAATTAAGTTTAATAATAATATGTGATAGAAACTATTTCTAAAAATAGTGCATGATAGAAACTCTTATGTGGTAGAAACTCTTTCTCAAAATAAGATAAACTCAAAATATGAATATAATGAAACAAATTATTTGTTGGTAATGATCATACAAATTAATTGAATCAATAATTAAATCATAATTCCAAATTAATTTGATTAAGTCACTATTTTAATTGTTATACATTTTCTGCTTTAATTAAGTTAATATATTGAAATATTGAAATTCAATTATTGATATATTTTGATGTAGAATTATTGTTATGTATTTATTGAAATAAATTATATATTTCATTCTCTATTTAGATTTACTTTTATTGAATTTCAGTAATTCTTACTTTATATTTCGTTAATTTGAATTAATTTGAATTTGAATTTGAATTTTATTAGATAATTTTGAATTTTATAGAATTTATATCAATTAATAAATAAATACTGAAACTCCTTACGCAAAGGCCGAGAAAGTAGTTCTACACTTGATCTTAGCAAAAAGACCAATAAAGGTTAGCCAAAAGGCCGACCAAAAAAAATTTAATACTACACTTAATCTTAGTCAAAAGGCCGAGAATGTGTGATTATTATTTCTTTGACTCTATAGTTTTACAAGAGGCTTTCATATAATCATTTTTATTTAAAACTAATATGGGATTTTGTAATTTGAATTAATCTCTTTTTATATTTTGTTAATTTGAATTAATTTTAATTTTATATTAGGTAATTTTGAGTTTTATAAAATTTATATCAATTAATAAATAAATACTAAAACACATAAACACTATGTATATTTAACAATCGTACAGATATAAATATATAAAGACATATATTTAAATAATTAATGTAGTGTTTGATTAGTCAATTGAAGGCTCAGTAGTTCTGAAGAATAAATACTAAAAAAAGGTTAGCCTCTGTAAAATTTTAAGTGATATAATTATCATTGAATCAGTACTTAAAATTCAGCTTTTAAATTTTTCAAAAGCAGCGTTGTCTTTTATCCCTTTCTTGGCACCACTACTCTCCCACACTCCCACGGAGCCTTAGTTGTACTCTCACTCCAGCTGGCTTGCTTTTTCTCCGCAGGGGAGAGTTGCTAATACCAGTATAAACCAGAAGATCCTTTCATTTCACTGGTCCGTCTTTGTCTTCCTCTCTTCTTTCTCTCTCTCTAAAAACCCTAGCTGAAAAAAGTATTCTCCTCTGTTTCAACAATGTCTGACTACTTCCCGCAAGAAGTGTTGATCGAAATACTCTCAAGAGTTCCCGCGAAATCTCTGCTCAGATTCAGGTGCGTTTCTAAGTCTTGGCTCTCTCTCATCACCAGCCCTGATTTCATCGGCCTCCACCTCAATCAATCACACAACAACCACCACAACCCTCACCTCCTCATCAAATACTACTCTCTGGACCCCAAAAAGGAGCGCTATTCGCTCCGATTCGATGACGAAACACTCACCACCGTCCACGAGTCCTCCGAACTCAAATGCCCATTCAAGACTCGCAGAAATAGCTTCTTCCGGATAGTGGGCATCTGCAATGGGTTGATTTGCCTCTCCGACGACCAGTTTGGTTACACCTATACTCTCATCATCTGGAACCCTGCCATTCGAAAGTGTGTGAACCTTCCCAAGCCTCGCATTTGCTTCGACACCTATGGACCCTACATGTTCGTTCTTGGGTTCGGGTTTGATTCTCGCAACAACGATTACAAGGTTGTGAGAATCGCTTACCTTCGCAATAAAATGGGTTCTTGGGACGCCGGTGCCGGTGTCGAATCGCTGTTGGGAGGGGAAGATGATTACATTGTTCCTCCTGAGGTGGAGGTCTTCGCTCTGAAAGCTGGGTCTTGGAAAACAATTGACACCAATGTGCCTCCGTATCACATGGTTGAGTATTTCTATTCTTCGCCTTTTGTCAATGGGACTATCCATTGGCTTGTGTATAATAAATCGGAAGGTTGGGACCAGAGTCATCGCTGCACGATTATTGGGTTTGATGTGGGTGGTGAGGTGTTCTGTGAGCTGAAACTGCCCAAGATATTGGCTCATGATAGCCCCCTGAACATGGTCATTGCGGTGAATGGGGACACACTTTCGGTGTTCCGGTATGATAATCGGGCGAAGATTAGGCATTGTTCGGTGTGGGTGATGAAACAGTATGGTGTGGTGGAGTCCTGGAGCAAACAATTCAATGTTGATTTGCAAGGAGGATTGTTAGGGCCTGCACTTGGGTTTAGGAGGGATGGTGAGATGCTGCTTGCTAGGAGGAATGGTGAGGTGATTTCGTATGACCCTGATAACAGAGCTGCTAAGAGTGTGGGAATTTCTGGCGGTAGAGACTCAATTTATGTTGGTACCTATGCTGAGAGCCTCGCGTTGCTCGATGGAGTGAATGCCGCCTCCGGTGCTAAGGTAGATTCTTGTGACATGGTTGATTCGGAGGAAGAACCTGTTTCTAATGGACCAGATAGAAAGGCACTAAAAGAACACGCACGCATGCATTTTGTTTTTTCGTCGGTGTTTCTCCATCAGTAATGTGTGTTCTTATTTAATATGCATAGTGTTGACTCAATGCTACTTACTCATGGAAGTCAAGTGTAAACATTGCATTACTTCACATCTTTTGAATGATGATGTGTTGGCAATTGGTAAGTTGTTAGGATTAGCTTAGTAGTTGTTTTGGCTAGTTATTAAGGTGATCAATCAATGTTACAATATATACTTATTTATCAGAGGGATGGTCATATGGTTTACTTTTGATATTGTTCATCAACTTAATTATCATGTATTGGAATGTTGCCTCATATGGTCGCATATGATGCCTATAGTGCTTTTAAATGACAGTTTATTATCTTAACTGTTTATCATGAATGGGTTGGTAAGTTTGGGTGACTCCAAACTGTGCATTGAGAACTCCATGAACATGCTCTCGAATAGAAAATACTAAATAGTTGCTGGTATGACAATTTGTTATGGTTTTATTTCCTGAGGTGGGGGTTTATGTTGGAAGCTTCCCATAACATTCTCAGGCTGTTTTGGAAGTAAGTCAGCCATTACCTCTTTTACTAAAAGATTGAAAATGGAATTTGGTATCTGATAACAAATAATGCTTCAATTTAGTGAGGACAAAGTCTAGATAATGAAAATTTGACTCAATTATCTTTATTAATTGTTGATATTTGTTCTTGTTAAGTAAACAGTTTTAGGCTGCACATGGATATTGAATTTCAACTTTGCATTGAATTAACTCTGAGTGGCAACCACTAATCTTTCTGGGTCATATATAACTGCAACAAATTTTTTATGGTATGCGTGTACTGGAAAGGATTGAGATCACCCCACCAGTGGACTCCAGTGCTGATGGAGTAATTTCAATCCTCCCTAGTGCAATGGAAAGACCAGCTGCACTGGAGAGGATCCTCTTTCGTTGTGCCTCAATGTTGTGAGTTGATTTGATTCATTTGAAAACTGACAATGAGGGAGAAAGGAAAGGTGGAATACGTGTGGAAAATATGTGTTTTTTTGAGTATTTTGTGGTAATAGTAAATTTATCTTTTACTTATAACAAAAAAATAATAATAAATTTATCTTTTGTTTTATTTGTATAATTTGTATGTTGAATATAGTGAGCAATTACCAAGGAAAAGGTTTTGATAGCTTGTCTTTGTAGCTATACGTTTTTGAGGCCTCCATTTGCTACTGCATAGTTTTTTCTCAAATCTTTTATTCAAAGTAATCAGTCAAGTTCCTCTTATATTTGAAGTGAAGGTGAATTTCCAATATATGTGAAGTTGGAATCAGTGCATCTTCCTTCATTTTTATGCTATTTTTGGTTTGTGTTCTATAATTTTATGATTTTTTTTTTTTCCTTTTTTGGGAATTAAATTGTTGCATGCTTACATGTCCAAGCACACTATTTTCTTTGTGATCATTCCGGTGCATTAAGATTTTGTAGCTGATTGGAGATTCATGATGTCTACTCACTGCTTTAGAAAATATTTGAATGAGCAGAGCCGGCCTACCTTGATATTGTACATGATCTCATACGGTTGGATAACTTGGCTGTTGTGCTTCAAGGTTGTGGTTGAGTTGAAAATCAACAATAGGGGAGAAAAGAAAGGCAGACTATGGATGAAAATGGTATGTTTTGTTGACTATTTTGTGGTTTAGTAATCCTTTATTGTGTGATGTTATACATTGCATACAGTGAACAATTTCCAATGGAAAGCTGCATTTAACTTTTTTTGTAGCTTTATACTCCTGAAGCCTCCATCGTTACTGTTTTATTCCCCCACCCCCCCCCCCCCCCCCAGCGGCAATCTTGTCACTTCTGCTGGAATTTTGTTTTGTGGACTATATCTTCTTTTTCATTTGATAATAAATTGTTACATATCTACATATCCAAGCACATCATTTTGGTCATTATGATGCGGTAAACTCTAACTGATTGGAAGATTCATGTTGTTTATACTATGCTTTAGCAAATATTTGAGAGAGCAGTGCTTATTGCTTACCCTCTAACCATCACACCTGACCTAATTACCCAGGGGTTGTTTGGACATCTAATGAATTTTAAATTGGTCCATTGTTTGATAATGAAGTGGAATGCACAAGTTGGTACTGTCATAGTTACAAGATGAAAATTCAAGATTGGATGAAATACTGATATTAGCAAGTTTAAAGTAAAACTGATCCTTTTTGGATTCTTAAAAACATGATGTACTCATTTTTTACCTACGTAGAACACTTTGTGCTTGTTCTAATTTCAGGTTGGATAATAATCTTACATTTAGTTTCCTTTCTCAATATCATGTTAGTTCTTGTTGTTCTTAGAGTTGGGTTGTGGTGGTGTAGTTTCTTAGCAGAACTAGAGAATTAAAGACAAAACCAAAACAAACTACATCATGCTGGTTTATTGAAGTTCCTTTAGGTGGTTATTATCATTAAATTGTGTAGGTTATCTGTTCATTTTGCATCAGCTGAGGTAGTGTAAATCCTTTATTGTTTTTTAGTACTTCCTCTAGCACCCTATGACTTTGTTTCTGAAGAATTTGTGTGTTATACCATTACAACTGAGGAGGCGGTATCAATTTGGATAGTTTACTATCTGAAGGAAGTATAAGAAGCCCAAAGGCGTAGATAACTATATGGATTATGGATTTTGTTTCTGTGGTTGTGGATCATTGTTTTGCCTTTTCATTACATACTTTCTTATTTCAATTTTTTTCTTTTCTTTTTTGGTTTTAACTTAGCTCAGATGAATTTAAGATGTTCTCTTGCCCTTACCAATTTTCATAAAATTAAGAAAACTGGTGGGGCAAAGTCGGTGCGTGAGTTTCTTGACAAGGTAAAAAAAAGAAGAAGGTATTTTTGAATTACTCAATTGAAGTTCCTTTTTATGTTTAGTTGAGATCAGTGCATCTTCCATCATTTTTTATGTCATTTTTTGGTTTGTGTTCTATAGTTTTTTTTTAATTCCTTTTTGGCGAATAAATTGTTACATGCTTACATGTCCAAGCACACTATTTTCTTTATGATCATTCTGGTGCTCTAAGTATTTGAAGCTCATTGGAAATTCATGATGTTTTATACACTGTTTTGAAAAAATTTGAGCAAGCAGAGCTTACCGCCTAACTTGATATTGTACATGATCTCATATGGTTGGTGTTTACACCCTTATTTTCACTCAATGGAAAATACACACGTGGAAGGAATTCTTAGTCAAGCCGGGTTCTAACACGTGGAAGAATTTGGGTCAAGCCGGTTTTGTGATGGGTGAGAGTTTTGCTCAAGGAAGGGTCTCAATAAAATCCAGTTAGGAGTGGTTGGCTTGGTTATATTAAACTAGTTTAATTTTATGAAGGCCTGTGAAATAGGGTTTGACTCAAAGAAGCCCATAAAGAAGATAGGCAGTTGAATTAAATTGCAGGAAAAGCCACGTAAGAAATGTTTGGTCAAAGGAACATGTTTATTATTAAACGTGGAGAGATTGGAGTTCCTAAAAATATGGAGGACGGTTTTCTTCAAAAACCACTATAGCCATAACCAAATTGCATGTTTGGGGCTACTACTACCACCATCCGGGAAAATAGGAGTGGTGGCCATTTGCTCAGACAGAGGAAGTCGTGCAAATCAAAGTACGATCACACAACTGTTGGCATGTTTGGAATGTTGGAACTCTAGAAGGATTAAAGCACGGTCACATGATGGCACAATTGCAGGGCAACTCCAGACACGATAATAACGTGGGAAAAGAACGTGGAAGTTCTAGAAAAATCACACAATTGCATGTTTGGAACGTTGGAGCTCTAGAAGCACGTCTGCACGTTTGCATGTTTGGGACGTGGAGGTTCTAGAAAGATCAAGAACGGCACGATTGCATGTTTTGGGACACTTGTCAGCTTTTGGTGGCATCAACCAATGGAACTGCTATTGTTAACTGTTATATTTTCATTCTATAAATAGGACATTATGTATAACGTAATAGGGGCTCAACGCTAAAAACGCATTTCAATACAATCTTTACTTTACACTGCAATGCAATTTTATTATGTTTAGTCTAAGTCCTGCACTTTACTTTACATTAGATAATCTTACTTTCCAGTCAATTACTTTCTCAAGTAGTTTGTTTTTTCCTAGCCAGTTAACTATCCTGAAGTCCTTTATCAAAGGCAAAAAGAACCTTGAGGTGTTCATTCCAGACCTCAACACAATCGTCTGGTCCTACAGTCTTCCCTCTGGAATATTGTTTGGATCTCTCTTTGGAATTACTGCAGTTCCTGGCACGCCCACCCGGTTCCATCAGAATCGGCGCCCACTTTTTTCAGGCCAAACAGTTGGATTCTTGGATGTTGTGCCTCTAGCTTGTGGTTGAGTTGAAAATTAACAATGGGAAGAAAGGAAAAGCAGATTATGGCTGAAAAATATGTGTTTGGTTGAATATTTTGTGGTTTGGTAATCCTTTATTGTGTTGTTTTATACATTGCATATATTGACTAAAGGGAAGCTGCTTTTAACTTGTTTTATAGCTTTACACTCCTGAAGCCTCCGTCGCTGCTGTATTTCTTTTTCCTGTCACTTTTGATGCCATTTTGTTTCGAGTATATCTTTGTGATTTTATTTATTTATTTATTTTAAAAGCTTGTTATATATCTACATGTCAAGTACATTATTTTAATCATTATGATTTGGTACACTCTTTGAAACTGATTGTTTATACTAGGCTTTAGCAAATATATGAGAGAACAGAGCTTATTGCTTATCCTCTATCACACCTGCCCTAATTACTCGGGTTGTTTGGACATCTAATGAATTCCGAATTGGTCATGTTCGGCTCACAAAAAAACGTGGCCGTTTCCAAGTGTGGAAAGGAGGGCGTGGGTTGCGGGCGTGCCAGGAACTGTTGTCGTTCCAAAGTTGAGTTTTAAACAATATTCAGGCGATTGTATGAAGGACTAGAATGACCACCTTCAAAGGTTCTTTTTGCCTTGAAAAAGGACTTCGGGATTGTTCTATAGCTAGTGGAAAGAAAGACGATATTGAAAGTGCAGGACTTTGAATAAAAAGTTGTAACGACCCTAGCTGATGCCAAAATTTTAAAAAAAATTGGCATAACCTCCCCTAAAAATGGGCCTACCACAACCTGTTTAAATGAATTTTTTAATCTGTCCCAACACAATAAACATATAATACATTCTAGCATCCCTTTCATCCATTCACCATGCCTTACTTAGTTCCTCTCATGGTGGAACATCCACACACCAATTAATCTAAATTATCATAATTACATTCCCAAAATACATGGTTGAGATTTAAAGTCCCTGTCTTACAACGTTACATGATACAATTGCATGGAAA